CCCTTACCCACCCACCCCAGAGTATCAAGTCGCATCAGGACTGAGCACATCCTCTTCTCCTGTGGCCTGCTGAGGTAGTCCCCACAGAGGAAAGTGATCAAAAAGCAGGCAACAGACTCTATGTCAGGGTCAGCCACCATCCCCCTTACTAGGGAACCCATATGAGTGCCGAGCTGCCCATCTACTGCATCTGTGTAGGGGCCTAGACCCAGCCCAGGCCATGCATAGTCCTTGGTTGGTGCTTCAGTCTCCACAGGGTCCCCTTGGTCCTTCTTCCCTCCCCATTCTTCCACAAGGCTCCCTGTGCTCCACCCAACGCTTGGCTGCGGGCCTCTGTGTATGTCTCCTCACAGCAAACGTTTAAATGAACAAGTGAGCTTCCAATTCAAGAAACGATGGGTGTTAAGGAATGACATAAACAATATTAGAAATAGGAAGCAGACAAAGCTGGAAAGCGAGATAGCTTCTAATACCGGCTTCTTAAGATTTAAACAACATGGAAAAAGAAGGCAGGGTCGCCTGTTAATTGTCCAGTCTAAGTTATGGATAAAGGGATGGTGGACTCTTGCCCCACTCACTCTTCTTGAAACAAGTCTCAAAGCCTCTTAGAAAAAGCCGGCCTGACATATACCCAATAAAAGACCTTATCCAACACTGTACACTAATATATACCTAATAAAAGACCTTATCCAACACTGTGCAAGGCTGTTCAAGAGCCAGCAACAAGACGAGCATGGCGGGGTATGCCAGTAATCCCAGCACTAAGGAGGCAAAAGAAGTATCATCTTTGTGAGCTCCAGGCCAGGCAAAGCCACACAATGAGACCCCATCTCAAACCACACCCTGTAACCCACCCCACTCTAACGAACACCCCCCCCCCCAAAAAAAAGAGTATTAGCAAGGGCTAGAAATAGTTCAGAGGTTAAAAGTACATGCTGAGCCAAGTGGTGGTTGTAAAGGCATTTAAATCCCAGCACTTGGGAGCCACAGGCAGGTGGATCTTTGGTGAGTTCAAGGCTAGGCTGGTCTACAGAATGAGTTCCAGAACAGTCAAAGCTACACAAGAGAAAAAGTGTGCTTACTGATCTTGTGGAAGACCTGTGTTTGATCCAGCATTTACACGAGGTGGGCTCCCGATCACCTTTTATTCCAGCTCCAAAAGCTCTAGCACTGCTGGCCTCCCCAGTGCTGCACTCAGGCGCACACACAGAAATGCGCACACTCACACACCATGCCTAACACATAACTTAAAACTCTTTACGAGCTGGATGGCTCAGCAGTTAGAGGCACTTGTAGCTCTTGCAGAAGACTCAGGTCTGATTCCCAGCACCACACAGTCGCTCATAACAATCCATAATTCCTGTTCCGGAGGATCTGAAGCCCTCTTCAGCCCTCTATGGGCACGAGGCACATGTGATACACATATGTACAGTAAGGCAAAACACCCACACACATAAAATAAATCTAAAAGAAAATAAGTAAAAATAAAACTTTAGAAAAAGAACCAGTAACAGATGCCCCGAAGATGGCTCTGTGGGTAAAGAGACCTATTGCCAGGTCTGACTACCTGAGTTAGTAATCACATGGTGGAAGGAATAACTTCTGCAAACACACACACACAAACACACACACAAACACACACACACACCCCTTTCCTCCCACCTTACCACAGGAGCTACTTTTCAGGAATGGTGTTTGATACATTTAGACTGAGAAAAGCAGATATGAGATATGGGATGGGAGAGCAAAGATGACAATAAAAGTCAAGATACCAGGAGCTTCTAAAATGTTTTACCTAAAGCAGAAGAATTTTGATTTAGCTGCTGATGACTACCTGGGTCTTTGTGAAAGACCATGTAGCATTACAGTCTACTGAAATTATCCACACACTCCTCTGGCCTATCCCTTCCCTTTCAGAGATTGCAACCATGGATGAACAGCCCAGTCTGTTATTCCAGAGGTCCTGAGTTCAGCTCCCAGCAACCACATGGTGGCTCAAACTACTATAATATGATCTGATGCCCTCTTCTGGCATACAGGCGTTCATGCAAATAAGAGCATTTGTATATATATTTATATACATAATTTAATAAATTTATGTATATACAAATTTCACTAGAAGTGCATGTAAAAATCTTAGCAAATTCTCTTAATAGTTTTGCACTTCTAGTGAAATTTATCTAAAGGCAAATGTACATTAATAGATCTTTTCTGACCAATTAAAATGAGTAAAGTACAGCTTTATACACTGACATGTACGCATATAAAAACTCAGTAAAAAAAAATTTCAGCACAAAAACATCTCTTGAAGATTTTTTTCCCCACAGTACAGCATATATCTAAGATTTCTAAATTACAAAGCTCCTTAAGTTTAGGGAAGCAGAAAAATGTTATCAGGGAACTTCCACTTTATACCTTTTGTGTTCTTTGAATTATTTTATAGTGTGTATCCTCTCAGAAATATATAAACCTTAAAAGATAAAAGAAATCAAGGGAAGTGGCAAGTACAATCCATAAGGACTTGTACAGGAAGTAAAAAAATCATACAAGTCACCTGGACAAAAAACAAACCACCTAACCTTTGTTCATTTTCTAACAAGACTTGGAGTAAATTTCAAAATCTAATCCAACAGAAATAACTAGCTGGTCACGAAAACTAAACGTTGATTTCTGTTAAAAATCTATAAAAGAGAAGCTGGGCAGTGGTAGCGCACACCTGGAAGATTTAGCAATGGTCAAAAATAAAAGAATTTGAGCAACAAAATATAGTACTGACACACAGATGCAAAATAACAATAATCCTTCCTAAAAAATAAAATCCAGTGGCCAGAGAGCCAGCTCATTAGTTCAAAGCACCTGCTGCTCCTGTAGAGGACCTGGATTTGGTTTCTAGCACCCACATGGGGGCTCACAACCATTACAATTCTAGTCCCAGGGGATCCGACAGTTTTTTCAAGCCTCCACAGATACCCCTCTCCACACACATACAGAAAAATAGAATTTTTTAAATTATTTGTTTATTTATTTATTATGTATACAATGTTCTGCCTACGTGTATGTCTGCACACCAGAAAAGGACAGCAGATCTCATTATAGATGGTTGTGAGCCACCATGTGGTTGCTGGGAATTGAACTCAGGACCTCTGGAAGAGCTCTTAACCACTGAGCCATCTCTCCAGCCCCGAAAAATAGAATTTTTAAAAAATGTTTTTAAAAGAGATTTTTTTTTTCTCCAAGACAGGGTTTCTCTGTGTAGCCTTGGCTGTCGTGGACTTGCTTTGTAGACCATGCTGGCCTCAAACTCACATCGATCCGCCTGCCTCTGCCTCCTGAGTGCTGGGACTACAGAAGTGTGCCGATGGACCCAGTTTATAAAAGACGTTTTTTAAAAACTAAGGTAATAGAAGTAAGCCATGAGTTAATAAGGTAGTAACATTGTTCTTAATTGTAACAGAAGTGTTATACAAATGTATGCTGCTGAGGAAAATAAAACAGGTGCCTGGGGGGTTACTATCTCTTTTTTTCTTCAATTAAATTAAGTTCTAAGGTTTAGCGATGGTAAATACCTTTAATCCCAGCATTCAAGAGCGAAGGCAGGCAGAGCTCTGTGAATTCCTGGCCAGCTAGGGCCAGACAGTCGTGACGTGACTCTTCTGTGTCAACCCCTCATCCATAATATAAAGTTTAGGTAAATAGTGCCTCTCAAGGCTATCCTCGAATTCAGCAGGGCATGGTGGCGCACGCCTTTGATCCCAGTGCTCAGGGAGGCAGAGGTCCCTGTGTGAGTCCAGCCTGGTCTACAAACAGAGTCCAGGACAGCCACGCTACACAGAGAAACCCTGTTTCAAGAAACCATAATAATAATAATATCCTAAAACTCATTTACTTCATCTCCCTTAGTGCTTTAAAAAAAAAAAAAAAAAAAAAGCACATATAAAATCTTTAGTGTTTTGGTTTGCTTTTGCCTTGCTATACTCAAGGAATTTCAAGATCATTTCACTTTACTTAGGGACAAGAAGAGAAACGGTGAATGAAGCATTAAAGACTGCTGGTTTAATCAAAATCTGCTCAGTGCCCAATGATTTTTGGATGACAGTACTATCCACAAAAGAAGGAAACAACGGAAATACAGGATACCTCCCTTTGTGAGGCCTAACATCGACTATCCACCGCTGGGTAGAGACGTCAGAACCAACCCACCACCAAAAGCACCCTTCCAATGGGCCGCGGCGGCTCTGGGCTGCGCCTGCGCGGCGCGAGGCTCGGGGTCCACAAGTTCAGGTCCCGGCCCCCGCCTCCTCCGCCCTCCGGCCCCTCGGGGCTCCCAGCGCGCACGCGCACGGCCCAACGGCCGGCCCGCAGCCCAACCATCAGCCTTCCTTCTCAGAGGGGCCTCTCAGTTCGAAGAACGGGCGGTGAACACGCTCGCTGGCCAAAAGCGGCTCCTCCTCGGCGAGGCAGCGCTCTCACGCTCTAGCTGTGGCGGACGCCGGCGCCTCTCGGAAGGAGGTTCCGGCGGTCGCGCGGCGCAGCCCGCTCCGGCCGCGCCGCCCTCGCCACAGGCGCCGAGGGGACCTATACCCCGGCGGGACCCCCCGGGCCGCGGCCCACGGCTTACCCGCTCCGATTCCGGAATACCGCTGTCGCCACCGTTCCTGTAATTCTCCCCAACCCTTCCGAGGCTTCTACTTCTTCAGGAGCAAGACAAGATGGCGCCCGGCGGCTCTCCCCCGGAAGTGGATCCTGACATCCGCCCGCCTCTGAAGTCACGGTGCCGCTCAGCCAGGCTGCGAGCATGGGATCTCAGCGGCTCGCCGCGTCCGCGCCATGTTTGTTCCGGGCAAGCTCGCCCCGACTTTGCAGCGGGACGTTTTCGCTGTGTGTCAGGCCTGCGTCACACCGACGCGTTTGTGCGCAGCCAACACAAAGCCGAGCCTAGTGCTGCGGTGTAACAGACAGGCCGAAGTCCCTGAGGCCCTCCAAGAAAAAGCAGAAAACAAACAAACGTGTTCTCGCCTAGGAGCGTCTCTTCACTGGGAAACGGCCGAACCGCGGCTCCACTGCGGACTGCGGAGGGGCCCCCAGGTCAAACGCAGCCAACTTGGAGCTCAGGGTGCCAGGCGAGCTGAGACGAGCTGGCCTCAGGCTGGAGCCTCGGTCTGAGTCCTAGACGCAGGCTGCTTGCCCAGGTCTCTTTGTTAACCTCCTGACATCGCGCCCCCTCGTGGGGGCGTCTACTCAGGCCGGCTTCGCTCAGCTACCCTTAAGAAACAGTTTCCCAGTCCTTTACCTCGACTACAAGATGGCCTCCCAAAAGAAGGTAAAAGGTGTTTTAGCATGAATAGTGTTCTTGTATCTAAAATGTCAGTTTTCCAGCCGAGGAGTTACAAGAGTAACTAGAGCACGAGAGTAACAAGAATGCTTAGAAATACAGCATTTATAACCGAAATTTTGGGGAATGCCTTTCTAAAACTGAAGAAAGTTGTGGAGAAGAATTCCGGGATGGAGGCTATGTCTGCAAAGATTGATTAGAGTTGCAGTGATGGGGACAGGTTGGAATTTTACAGGCCCGGAGGCTAATTACCCAATTTAGGCCTACCTGTGCCCACCAAGTAGGTCCTTGCCAACCTCTGTATTGGATCTAAACATCCTGTGACTAATAGATTAGAACCTTTTGAAACTTTTTAAACAATTATTTATTTATCTTTACTTTGTGTGCACTGGTGTTTTGCTGCACGCAGGCCTGGGTGAGGGTGTCAAGTCACGTGGAGCTGGATTACGGACAGCTGTGAGCTGCCATGCGGGTGCTGGGAATTGAACTCCAGTGCCGGTGCCCTTAACCACCCAGCCCCCCTTTTGGAACTTTTTAACTTAGCTGACTCCTAGTTTCCACCCACCTAAGAACTGAGAATGTTATCAGAGAGCCTCCGCAGCGATATAAACGTGCTCCCCATCTTGCTGTAAGTCTTGTGTGAGGCACGCACCAATGTATCTTAAACTTGCTTTGACTTATGACTGTGTTTGCTCTTTAAAACTATGACATATCATGAAACTACTTCCATGTTATACATGAAATTTGGCATAATCTAAACTAGTGTTCCTTGGGCCATGGTCAATGAAATATGACTCCACAATACGCCCTCTCTTACTCCTTTTAAGATGAGAACTGTGCTTTTTGCATCCACAGAACACACTGAGAATCTTTGAGTTGGGAACTGTGTGCACAGGAAGGAAACATCAAATTACTCTAGAAACAAGTTTGCTCGTTAAGGAAAATATAGGTAGATGTGAGACAGGGGATGTCCTTTTCAAGAAATTCTATCATTCTTAAATTAAGCATTTGAAAACCAAGTAGCCTGTGTTATTAGAATAAAATCTTCCTAGATAAACACTTGCTGGCCTCAAATTGAGCCTTCAATATGTACTTTGGGAGGTTGGGTGGAGAAAATTACCAATTATCTGGTAATACTATTATGTGACTTCATGAGGTTAGTACTAATTTCAAAAGGAAACTTGTAGTTGGCCGTTTCCATTTATCGTAACTAGGAACTCACAGAGATCCACCTGCCACCACCACACCATTGCTGGGATTAAAATCCTGTGTCACCATATTTCACCTTGAGAAACAGTGTAACCAAATTTAAAATTGAATTTCTTTGGTTTATTTCTAACCAAAGAAATAAACTTTGGGGGCTGGAGAGATGGCTCAGAGGTTAAAAACACTGGCTGCTCTTTCAAAGGTCCTGAGTTCAATTCCCAGCAACCACATGGTGGCTCACAGCCATCTATAATAAGATCTGGTGCCTTCTGGCATACAGGTTTACACACAGGCAGAATACTATATACATAATAAATCCTTTTTAAAAAATTAAAAAAAGAAAGAAACTTAGTGACAGCTGGTTGGATTAGCAAGGTTATCATGAATAATTTCTGCTCCCTATAATTATCTTGTAATTTTCTTTTTTTTTTTTTCTTTTTCTTAAAATTAAAAACAATACTTGGATGAGAGCTTTTGCCTTCCAAGGGCCTAACATATCACTTAGCATAGAGAAAAGTTTACACTATCAAGAGATTGACTGTTTTGACTAGTGACCCCAGTATAAGCTAGTCATTTTGGATATTCAAATGGAAAGGACTATTAAATGCCTCCTCATTTTGTTCCTTGGTGCCAGCTTAATACTCTGAACAATCACTACATCAAAAAAGAAAATGAGTTTTACAATTCTATTTCTCTTTCCCTAACTATTCTAGTCAAGAATTTCCGTGTAACATTACAACCCAATGGAGAAAACAGACGCATTACTGTGTGGATTTTTATTTCAATTTGATTTAATATATGACTGGGTCTCACTATGTAGTCCCAGCTGGACCGAAATTTATAATCTTCTCTCAGCAAAAGTGCTGGGATTACAGGCACATATGACCACACATTTCTCCCGTGTGTAAATTTCAAATGCTGTATTATCAGAATATGTGCTGTTGTGTTAAAGGTCTGAACAGCTATCACATACAAAGTCTTTAATTTGGTTATTGTGTATAATTATCACTGTACTATTAATGAGTGACAGAAAACTTTAAAATTAAGTTTGTTTCTATAGGGCTGGGGAGATGTCAACGTCAATAAAGCAAGAGGACTTTCCTTGAGTTTAATCCCCAGAACCCATGCTTTGAAAAAAAAAAAGGCGGGTACTGTGGTGTGTGTTTGTAATCCCAACACTGGGAGTGAGGAAGGTAGACAGATCCCTACCTACTGAGTTCCACATCAGTAAAAGACCCGGTCTCAGAGACAAAGGTAGAGGGCACCTGAGGAATGCTCAAGAATGTCTTCTTCCTCCACATATGCATGTGCTTGTGAGACCTGGTCACCAGGCCACATGCTTTCAACCACTGACAGTCCAGACGGTGCATAGGAAGGCTTTGCAGGAACCACAGAGTAAGCCACTGAGTCATCTGTGAGTGCAGCAGAAAGCTAGCCTATCTTAATCAAAAAGCATTTACTTAAAAAAATATTCATTGAAGGCAGTTGACAGACCTAGCAACTAACATTAGTATCTAGAAATGTGGTACCTTACATTATGCTACAGTAGAAAATTAGATTTAGCTGAGATTCACCAGAACCTACAAGGCAATAATGTATGTCCAGCTAAAGGAAAAGTTTGAAAAGAGATTACATACTAGGTGCTACTGGATGCATTTGACTAGGTAGTATAAAGAAGTAAGAGATGAGGACTAGACAAATGGCTCACAGGTTAAAAGCACTGGCTGCTTGCTCCTCCAGAGGTTCTGGGTTCAATTCCCATTAACCACATGGTGGCTCACACCATCTCTAGGGAAGTCTGGTGCCCTCTTCTGGGGTGCAGGAGGACATGCTGACAGAGCATTGTCTAAGTAAGTCTTACGCGGCAGTCTTAAACAGTATGAGCTGAGTGGAGCAGTGCGTGTCTTCTCTTAGTCACTGCTCTGCTGCTGTGAAGAGACACCATGACCAAGGCAGCTCTTAGGAAGGAAATCATTTAGTTGGGACTTGCTTACAGTTTCAGAAGTTTAGTCCATTGCTGTCATGATGGCGGCATACAGGCGGACACTAGAGCAGTGGCTAAGAGCTACATCCTGCTGCATAGGCCGAGAGAGACTCTGGGTTGGCACAGGCTTTGAACCCTCAAAGCCCTCCCCCAGTGATGCTTTCTTTCAGGTAATAACACTCCTGGGGACTAATATTCACATATATGAGCCTGTTGGGCCATTCTTATTCAAACCACCACAAGACTATAATCTGGCTTGCTCTGGAGGTAAAGACCAGACTGGGCCACGCATTAAATCATTCTGTGTAACCAGGCGTGGTGGTGCACGCCTTCAATCCCAGCACTTCGGAGGCAGAGGCAGGTGGATACCTGTGAGTTTGAGGCCATCCTGGTCCACAAATTGAATCCAGTAAATTACACAGAGAAACCCTGTCTCAAAAAACCAATAGATAGATGAACAGACAGACAGACAGATAGATGATATATTGGTAACTAGGTAGATAGATTGATGATATATTGATAGATAGATAGGTAGGCAGACAGATATGTAAAACCTATGTGTCTGGACAGGGAGAAGGGAATCAGAAAAGATTAGATTAAAACAGCAGAGAATAAAAACTTTGTTAAACTCCTTTGATCTTTGCAGGATTGTTTTTTATGAGACAAGGTATCTCTATGTAGCCCTGGCTTTCTTGGAACTTGTATCTAGACCAGACTGGCCTGGAGATGCACCTGCCTCTGCCTTCTGAGTGAGCTCTGGGATTAAATGCATGCACCACCACAACTAGCTAAGGTTGGATTTTTGAACTACACAAAATAAACTTTAGGCTTTAAAAATATTTTATTAGTTTTTTTTACTAGTTATGAGTGTCTATCTGCATGTATGTACATGGATCATGTATGTGCTTAATGCAGGCAGAGGCCAGAAGAGTCTGTCAGATCCCCAAAAATTGTAGTTACAGTTGTGAGCTGCCTTGTGGATGTAAGGAAATGAACCCTGTCCCTCTGCAATTACAGTAAGTGCATAGCTTAATCAGTATGAACTACGATGTACACATTGTTACACTACATTGTCTAAAGACAAGAAAAGCAGTTGTGCCCTTAAGCTTCTTGTTTTAACTCTAAGAAATTGTTTCTAATGCTTTTAATCATTGAAAAGATTTCCAAAGTTTTTGTGAAGTCTGTACCCTTATGATCTTTGCTACAGGCTAAGTTCTAATGACCCTTATATTTAAAATTTTCAAATTAAAGCTGGAGAGATGGCTCATGCAGTAAGAGCACTGGCTGCTCTTCCAGAGGACCTGAGTTTGATTCCTAGCACCCACATGACACATCTCTAACTCCACATCCAGGGGATCTGATGCCCTCTTCTGGCTTCCCTAGACACTGCATGTAAATACATAGACACACATATAGCACACATATAGGCAAAACACACACATACATATATATTATATTATAATTGTTATAATTATAATATATAACACACACATATAATATAATATAATAATATTATATATTATATATTATATATATATATATATAATAGAAGAAAAGAAACCAGAGACCTAGGTGCAAAGGACACAATTAATACTTTATTAGTCACGGCTCTGTAAAGAAACAATTTAGAGAATGAATTTCTATCTCATATATATCCCATATATATGTGCATGTATAAGTTCCACATATACAAATATACTGTGTCAGTGAAGGGATGGACATGCTAGCAAGGCAGGAGCAAGCATGCAAAGAGCAAAAGCTTTCTTTTCCCATGTCTTTATATAGGCTTCGATTAGAAGATACAGCTCAGATTAAAGTGTGTCTTTCTGCCTTGAGACCCGGATTAAAGGCCTGTGTCTTCCTACCTCAAAGGTCCAGACTAGAAGTTGGATTCACCCCATCAAACCAAGCAAAAGCTCACAGGTGTGCCCTCCATTTCTGGATTGTAGTTCATTCCAGACGACGCTGTCAGTTGACAACCATCACAGTTATATATTAAAATTATAATCCCCTGCAACACGTGGCTTGAGGCCATTCTCAGGTGGGAAATTCTGGAAAATGATCCTAACCAAAGTCTATCTCTTTAAATTTAGCCTAAAATGGTGGAGTTGGTTTTTCTGGCAAGTCTCAATATTAACACAAACAAGGAAATGGTATTTACAAAAAGCTATGTGACTTATTAGTATGTCATATTTTACAACAGTCCTGAAATGTAGCCAAAGGTGTTAATTGTAAACAAACCCTCCTAGGAATCTAGAGTCAGAAAAGTCTACTGAATCTACCTCACACCCACAGTAAAAGATTCTGGTACTAGCTCCCATCCTCCCTCCTATTGCATGAGAATGTTTATTGGCAACTGCTCCAACACCGTTTATGAAGTATATGGAAAAATTAACAACCATTTTGGCTCCTGGGCCTTCAGAGCAGCAGGGACGACACCAAGACATGACCAAACATACTCTAGAAAGCTGGTAGGGAGGATAAACTCACCTGGACTGTGACCCTTGACAAGGGAGTCATTGTGCTGCCAAGTATGCACTAAAAGCTGAGTGCTCGGAGACCAGAGGGTGCGCAGAGACAGAGATGCCTTGCAAACTCGCACCCGCACTCCCCTTCCCTGCCGTCTACGGGGTTACATAACTACTAGCCAGTGGGCTGGGTGACACACTGAGGTGAAGCGCTATTGCTGGGGAGAATTTTCAGCACTCTCTGCTTTGCCACAGTGCGATGGTTTTCTTTGCAGATTGCCTAGATGCAGTGGGTTCTGAGAAAGAAACTGGTTGTTTTAAGCAGCTGAGATTTGAAGATATTTATGTAGTTTAACCAGCCACGTTCTAAAAGACAAAGGATTATTGGAGCTGGAGAGATGGCTCTGTTGTGGGGCACTCACCAGAGCAGAGTATTTGCACCTGGGTTTAAGCCAAGACAAAGACTTATTAGCCCACCAGGGACTACTCCGGGTGCTCAGGATCCAAGGGTAGCACTGAGCCTTTTTCAGGGCACACTTTTAATCACACACACACACTCACACACACACAGAATTTTGACAAACTTAGTGAGAACAGCCAGAAGCAAAGCTACAGAGGCCAAAATGCAAGGTTAGTAGGCACCTTTAGGTGGATTAGGAATTTGTTCTCGTTTTGGACAGGGACTATTGTTCACATACTGAGTTTTACAGCTTGCATGGGACTTCCACCATGGAGTCAGCTGTGCTAAGGACCTATTGAGGTCTGGGACCTTGTCATAGTATAAGAGCACTGGCTGTTCTTCAAGAGGACTCGGGTTCAGTTCCCAGCACCCACAGGGCAGCTCACAACTCTCCGTAACTCCAGTTCCAGAGGATCCAACACCCTCACAGACACACATGCAAGCAAAATGCCAATGCACATAAAAAAATAAATCATTAAGAAAAAAAACAGGATTGTTTGCAAACAGTTTGGGTTTCTCTACTTGTGTATAATCCTTGAAATATATGAAAAAGCTTTCAGGAAACCCACAAACTTCTAAAACTACAAATCTGCAAATGTTTTTCTGGTAACATGTAATATCAAGATTTCTCAGCCCCTGTTGCAGAAGGCCCTAAAACTAAGGCTCAGCCTTCTCTCTTTAGCTTTCTCTTTGGCACTGTCAGAGACGTCGGTCTTTGGTAGGTGTTACCCCCAATAGCTGATAAGCAATATTGGTTGAAGTTTTCCTTTATGTGCTAGCTGGATCTACTTCAGCGTGACACAGGCTAGAGTGAGAGGACAGGAAGGAGCCTCAGCTGAGAAAATGCCTCCAGAAGATTCGCCTGTACAAGTCTATCGGACATGTTCAACTTGGTAACTGGTGAGCAGTGCCACCCCTGGCCTGGTCTTGGTGCTTTCTGAAAGCAACTGAGCAATCCATGGAGTGTAAGCCCCATGACCTCTGCCTCAGCTCCTGTCCTGACTTCCCTGTGATATGAACTGTAGAGGGAACAAACCCTTTCCTCCCCAAGTTGCTTTTGGTTATGGTGTTTGATCATAGCAAGAGAAACTGTAAAACCCTGTCACTTGACATATTTTCTCATTTCTCCTCACTCCTTGAGTGGTTTCTTGGGTTCACTGCTAGATGCCTAATGCCAAACAAGCACTTGTTAAATGACCAAATAAAAATCAAAGTGTTTAACTTTCATAACCTCAGAAAGCTTCACAACTCCAAAAAGTGAAAACAAACATGTACACGTTTCCTCGTGTACAGCCCTATCTAATAACGCAGGTCATTCTGAGAAATAGCTGACATGTTGAACACTCAGCAGGGCCCACCCAAGTGGTTTTTTCTTTTCTTTTTCTGGACTGAGGATAATGAAGCTCAGTGGAAAAAATACTTGATACAATCCCCAGCACCAGGTTGTTTGTTTAAATAGTGCGTTCCTAAAACATGAAGACTGCTATGAACTAAATGTTTATGTCACATTCACAAACTCCCCGTGTGAGAGTTATGTGAACTAGGATTTTCAGAAAATGATTAGGTCATGGATGTGAAGATCTTATAAACATAACCATGCAGCTCCCTTTTCCTTTCGCCAGGTGAACAAACACTGAGGTAGCATTACCAGAAAATTTGAAGTACACCTCATTAGACAGTGTGTCTTTTTGTGTCTTGATCTTGACCTTCCTGACTCCAAAAGTGTAGGAAATGAAATTTTGTTGTGCTTTAGCTACTCAAATTATATTTTATTATAGCAAGAAAAGGGAACTAAAAACAGACATAAACACGACATATAGTATTCTGTCAATTAACATATAATGCAGAAACTCCAGAGCCAATCTATTAACATGAGAATTTAATCTTTATTATGATGTGCTTACATACAGCAATGACAAAATAATGCTCAACAAGTTACACAGATATTTTTAAAATATTGTAAAATGGATAAAGGACAAGGAATGATAGCATGAATTTATTACCGATACTTGAATATAGCCATCTATTAAATACATTTGAATTGGTGATTTCTACATAAACTAAACAATTTTAACACAGAAATATTTTTTCCAGTAATGCAATGGATGCTATTTAAAGCTTGATTTTAATGAACATATTTGGTTTAGGTTTATTTGATCAGATGTCATGCAAAAAAATAAGCTGAGTATAAAGTTCATGAAAGAAGGCAGGATATTGTTTTGTACTACAAAAATCGAATATATGGTGACATTTCACAGGAAATTTTACTCAACTACAGCATAAAATCACTAATTCCTCACACATGCAAGCTAACACCTATTAGATATACTTCTATTGATATATTACTCTGAGCTGATGACAGTGATCATTTCCTTTACCCTCTAATTGGGTAGTCATCATGTAATTTTTTAAAACATTAAACAACAATCTTAAATATAGATGTATATTTGTTTATGTCACAAACATTCACATAATTGGCACATCATCAAAATTTTATCATTTTAAATATGGAAAATCCAGGGGAAAATTGGTGCTAGATGTACCCTGTAAACCAATTATCTAGGTAAAAATTTTCTCTTTTAACTTTCGAATTCACTGTGCCAAAACATTAAGTAGTTGAGTTGATCTGTAAACATTCTTGTTTATTTGCACTGTTTCCTGAGGTAATCTGAAAACTGTTGTTATTACAGTAGCTTCACAATTTAAAATTCCTGCAAATGTGCTTTGGAAAACTTCAATATAAAAACAAAAGTTTAAGTGTGGGCTTAAGTGAGTTTCCTCTATTATTTAAGTTTGATAAGAAATTCCTAGGTATCAAAATCAAACCATTTTCCTCTTTTTTTTTAAGATGGCAAAAAAAAAAAAACCCACTCAAACTTTAGATTTAAAAAAAATACATTTTAGACTCTTCTCAGTTAGCATGAGGTAATAAATCAACATATTATTTGTATTCACTGCGAGAATAATGTGTAAAAGCATACAGATTTTAGATTCTCCCGTTTTAAAGGAAGATATGTCAGGTATATCTTTGCTAGGAGAAAAAAAGGTTAACTATATACATTTCTTTGGTGGGGACAACTGCTATGACCAAGATACCAACTTGAACAATTAAATTATTTTCTAACTCATTATGGTGCTAGAATCTTCCATGTCCGTGGGTTAATTAGTAAATTCTGAATGTCTGATGAAACAGAAAACACTGGAAAGTTCTCTTTAGAGGGCATAACTGGGCTCAATGGATAAAATACATTTCTCCATCTTCAATTAAAAAAAATTAAGAGAATTACCATTGAAAGTTCCTCCACAACTTAAAGATAGAAGTTATGCAATGGTATTTAAATTATCTGCATTACACATCTCAGGAGGTAATACTGGAGACTCTGTGCTGGTACACATGTCAAGAAGGTTTAATCCTGGCTGAAGGTCCACACAGTTTCCAGCCTCTCTCCCTTCAAGTTTGCCCACAGAATCAAGCACTGGCACTGATGAATAAAGTACTGAACCATTCCCTTTCATTCTGATTCAATCTTGTTTGTCAGTAACCACTTCACTGATTGGGTAGTAACATTTCTCATGCTGTTTTCACAGGTCAGTCATTTGAATTGTAGAAGGGGAACCTACCCTGCGTTACTACATAATTCTTTAAGGGAACAGAAGTAGCAGCTCTGTGCCCCATTAAAGTAAAAGGCAAGCCCACCTGAAGTTTTTATTTGTGTTGATAGGGATGAGACCAGGCCCTTGCACAGACCAGATGAGTCTCTGCACTGAGCTTCATCCCCAGCGACCCACATGAATGTTTAAATGATGCTTATGAAGACAAAACCATGTGTAAGATTTACTGAAGTATAGAAGTCAAAAATGTATTATATTCCCTTGTTAATTACAAGAATATGGTTTCCTACCATTTATAAATATAATTTGATAGTTTATAATTCAAAGACATCCTTAAACTTTAAAATATTCTATGTTCCTATGTAGACTATGAACTTTTAACTTGACAATTCTTCATGTTACAATTCTCTATTTTTATTTTGGTTTTAACCAATCACTTGCAAATTATCTTTAATAAACTGCAAATGATTACTTTATGAAATGTTTCAATACTTTCAGATATTCAATGCAACAAAATAATTAATACATTACTTGTAAACTTACATTACCAAAATTACAGTGGCTCCTTTTTACATGACCAAATCACATAAAATATGTAAAAATAATTATGTTACATTAGGCACTAGTTAAGACTGTTCTAGTAACATTTCCCATACAGTAACACCCCCCCACTGCAAAGCCCTGAGATGATTTTAAGTGGAGTGGGACAAGAATGAACAAGCTTTCTTTCGTAGTTATAAATTTACTTCAGTGTTCACTAGAAGAAGAACAAGCACATAAAAATGTGAATTATGACTCAAAACAGGGGCAAGATCTCAAAAGGCTAAACCGGACAGTACGTAAATTGTAGCCTAAGATATACTACATCTACTCAGCTCATATGACATTTAGGAAATGGTATATTAAAGAATGATTCAATGTAGCATCATCTCTGAATGCTGTAATGATAGTCATATCAAAGAGGATTTCTCTATTACTATCAAATTTTTTTGAGAGGGGGATCTCCAAGGACATGAAAATTAACATAAAACATGTTTTTACATTTAAGAATATAGATTTAAAAGCACTAATTAATTAATTTTTTAAATTGTTTTTTGAGACAGGGTTTCACTGTGTAGCCCTGGCTATCCTGGAACTGACTCTGTAGACCAGGCTGGCCTCGAACTCACAGAGATCTGTTTGCCTCTGCCTCCCAAGTGCTGGGATCAAAGGCACGCGCCACCACTGCCCCATTAATTTATTTTTAAAGAATGAACCATATGGTGAAAAAGTGAAATAACACTGGAAGGATGCACTATTCCTAAAGAGCACAAAGGTATATTACATATTACAGTTACAACTGCAGCATTAAAATAAAGATGAGCTAAGGAACAGCTAACAGAGAGTTAGAATATTCTCTCATAAAAGAGAAGATACGCTTGTGCGCTCAGTGCTCTTGACTCAGGCACCACCTGCACGTATGTGTCACTGACATGGACCCAATGGCTGCCCAGCTCACTCTCAGCTTCTTTTAAACCTGGCAGAACAAAAAGTGCAACTTAGAGTTAATGTGTTTATACTCTAAATTGTAAGCAGTGACACTTTGATGAACTATTTTTAACTCGAAGATCTTATTTTATGAGTGTTTTTCTTAGATTAAGTATTTCCTAAAATGAACAAATTCTTTCAAAGCATCAATATCACTAATAAATTATGTTAATAATTACTTCCAGTTAATAAAATTTTAATTTAAATATCTAGTGTGCTATTAGCCTTAGAACACTTAATTTCTCAGAAAAAGAATTATTTTCAGCAAAAATGACAAGAGGAGAGGCTGGCAAGACAGTGCAGCAGGAAAGGTGCTTGCTGTACCAGCTTGGTCGCCAGCTTGACCCCAAACCATACAGAGGTGGAAGGGGACAGGGAACAGTGTATGTAAAACTCTTCTCTGACCTCCAAACACATGCAAACAGACATGCAGCAAACACAGACACAAGAATAATAAATACACCTAACACAGTAATAAATGAGCTGGACATGGTGGCGCACGCCTTTAATCCCAGCATGAGGTAGGCAAAAGCAGGTGGATCTCCGTGAGTCTTAGGCCAGCCTGATGTACACAGTAAGTTCCAGGCCAGACAGGGCTTTGTATTAAGGGCTTTGTATTTGGTGTCTCTTCAGAAGATTGGGTAATGTGCCTGGGAAGTGGCTCAGTGGTCAGAAGCACTAGTCACATAAGCCTAATGCTCTGCATTTGACCCCAGAAACAGTTTGGGGAAAGCCAGATATCAGTGTCACGTATCCGTCACCCTGCATTCCTGTGGGGGGCAGAAACAAGAGGACAGCCCAGAATTCCCTGGCATGCGAGACACAGCAGTGCAAAATCAAGAGAACACAGTGGAAGCAGAACCCACGGTTGGTGTTCCTCTCGGACAGCCGCCATATGCTGTGCACACCAACACACACTAATGTTAAAACAAAACAAACAAAAAAACCTACCACCTCTCTGAAGTAACTTTAAGAAACTACTTGTCACTTCATATTGCCTAAAAGGATACTACTTTTTGATTATTAAGATCCTTGAAGATACCAGGGCATGGTGGTATGCACCTGTATTCTCAGCAGAAGCAGGAGGATCTCTGTGAGTTGAGGCCAGCCTGGTCTACAAAGTGAGTCCAGGACTGCCAAGGCTACACAGAGAAACCCTGTCTCAAAAAACAAACAAAAAACAAAAACAGAAAAAAAAGATTCTTGAAGATTACTTAAGCAGACTTACGAATAATAAAATGAATCCTCTGGAGATCTGTAAAATAATCACTGACTTTTTAAAAAAAAAGTAAGAATAAATTCTTTCATTCTTTAATTTACAAAAGTAAGAATAAAAGATACTTGGGATTATTGAGGCTGTCACTGATCCCGCATGAGGAGACAGCTCTATGGTTTAAAGCTGTTGGCGTTTGCTGGGACAGTCTCTCAGCTAGCTACCAACCTGACTTCTGTACCATGTGGTTCTCACTGCCTGACCCCTGCTCTTCTTTCCATCCAGAAATCCTGCCCCTACTTCCTGCTCTTACCACCAAGAAAAAGTCACACTCCTTACTCACCTAGTAGGCTGGGGAAGCTCTCCTTCCCCACAGCAGCCTCCCTTATTTTTAAAGGCAGGTGAAGAAGTAACATTTACACACTCTACTAACAGTTAGAAACACACTTTTTCACAGCCAGCAATACACAATGTTTGTGGGTCACCCCACGTAGGCTGGCTTACCTGGTCCAGTCTTCCTTCCAGTAATGTATTCGGATAACTTCCTGGAGGGCACCCTCACTTTCACGTAAGCAGTGTAATGGCCTCCTCTCATTGAGCCACTGTGTTCCACTATTCCGTAGAGACCATAGAGAACTTTCTCTCCCACGCTTATGTTCTTTCAAACAAAGAAAGAAAAAGTAGCATTTGGTGAAAACTGCATAAAAAGTAAATGCATAAGAGAAATGTATTCTTAAAACCATACTGAGGTTGTCGGTGTCAAAGAACACAAAGTCCACTGTGGAACAGCATTACAAAAACAAAACAAAACAAAACAAAGGAGGAGAAAACCTCAAACCCAAATTTATCCAGTCCTCTAGTTACAACTGCCTGAATGCAGAAAACAATGATGACAAAGGGATAATCATCAAAATTTGAGTTATGGCAAAATAGAAGATTCCAAAAGGAAAAAGAAAAATTATACATTAAAATAGTGTTAACATTATCGATTTACTTGTATACAGATACATCTTAATGTACTGATTTTTAAATGAACTGAATACTAATTCACTTGAAGCTCATATGTGTGAGACAACAGGAAGTATGAGCACTAAAGCCTGGAGGCTTAGTAAATTACACTCTGTGGCTGGGTTAAAATGGGAGTGAAGGCCAGGAGCAGGTAGCTCAGTGTCCATGTAATGTCCTGGGTCAACTCCCGCCCCTACCCACCAAAAAAAGCAATCCACAGAAATAAATCTATGATGTTAGGGTGGTACAAGCACTTGAGAGGCTAAAATAGAGGGCTCTTGAGTTCAGGACCAGTCTGGGCAAGAGAAAAACACAACAAACAAAAAAGAGAACAGAGTAACTATTATATTGTAGGCATACATAATGAAATGATATGTTCTTCAAAGCACTAACAGGACATTATTTTAGGACTGGACGATGGAGGCTCTCTGTACTGTTCTGTCTACTTAGAAGTATATTAGAAAGAACAGGTACTTTTTGTTGTTGTTTTGAGAAAAGATTTCTCGGGGTAGCCTGGCTGTCATGAAACTTCCTCTGTAGACCAGAAGCCTCGAACTCAGAGATTCACCTGCCTCTGCCTCCCAAGTGCTAGGATAAAAGGTGTGAGACACCACTGCCAGGCAGAATAGGTACACAATGTTCTTAAAAACTAAACACGGGGGCTGGAGAGATGGCTCAGAGGTTAAGAGCACTGGCTGTTCTTCCAAAGGCTGTTCAATTCCCAGCAACCACATGGTGGCTCCCAACATCTCACAAGGGCAGGAAAAATACTAAATAAATAAAAATAAATAAATCTTAAAAAAAAAAAACCAACCAAACACAGAGCTTACAAAAACCATTGTTATTTGCTATACCATCAACTATTTCTAGTTGATGAATGTGAGGACTGAATGTTAGCAACTGACAGAGGTGGCATTCCACATCAAATACATTGGATTCATCAAAAAGCTGCATTCAATTTATCAAATTCAGTAATTATCCTATGACATACCACAAAGCCTAGACTTCTGGCCAGCAATCATGAATACAACACTCTATTACCCTAAAACTATTTTCCTCAATAAAATGTATGAGTTTTACTTGTACAAGTCTTACATGTAAGTACTTGCAAGCAATTATAAACCTTGTTAGTAAGGCATTAGCAATTTGGATCTATTGCATTCAGCTGATAAGTATGCAACTAAGAGTAGTATTGGTGAAATGGCATAAGCAACACAGAATTGTGTTTATTTGCAAAAGATGCAGACCATTACAGATGCTAAAACATGGCTCATTATCTGGCTCACTCAGGAGCAGGAGGGCACAAAGCTATCATATCATCTGCTGATAAGTTAACAGGCAGCTTTGATGGTTGTGATCCCTGCATAATGCCTTACTTATCTTCCAAAAAACAAGTCACATCTGATGTATTAATATGCCACAACGACTCATTCAAGAAGAGAAGCTTATTTAAACAAAAACAAAATCATAGTCTAATAAACAACAAGCATATCACTTTCAAGTTATTTAAAGTTCTTAAGATAGCATACCTTACAGGTAGCAGCACAGAATGGTGCTAAGTCAAGGGTAAGCGGAAAGTCTACATGTCTGTTTACTTTACGAAGACTCAAGCCAGCCTTAAAAAGACAAAATGAAAATTTTATTACAACAAAATTAAGTTTAAAGTGCCATGTTAATAAAAACCAAAAGAAGAATTCTAGAAGTTATTTTCATAGATATAAATAAAGCATGACTAATAATAGCCATATGAAGTTTCACATATTAAAAATTAGATTTCATATATTGTTATTAGAAAGGTTTGTTCGTATAAGATTTTTTTTCTACCATGAACAATACAGTAAACAATTACTTCCTCTGTGGCTTTTTACAACAATTAATAGAAAAATAAATGTAATGTGTAAAAGCTAGCCCACTGACGCCCTGGCATTAAAATGTACTTAACAAAGAATCACGGACACCCAACTCAAGGACTTGTTAAAAATGAACTGGAAGTAGGCAACCTCATCTAGGTCAAAGCAGAAAATGGGGATGAACAGATCTTATTAAGTGCTTTTCATTTCCTTCTTGTTATTTTGTTTTGTTTTTCTAGACAGGGTTTCTCTCTGTAGCCCTGGCTGTCCTGGACTGGACTTGTGGACCAGGCTGACCTTGAACTCACAGAGATCCAACTGTTTCTGCCTCCCTGAGTGCTGGGATTACAGGCGTGTGTCACTGTGCCCGGCTGGTGTTTTTCATTTCTAAAACTCAATGATAAGCACTCAGTGATTAAAGACTTTGAACACTTGCACTATTTTTCAATAAAAGTAAATGGTACACAGTACATAAAATGAATTTTGAGATCTTAAGACTTTATTTTTCTATTTAAGTAAAATTTACTATCTAAGAAAACTCTTATTTTCAAAGCTAATTTTAAAAATGTATGTTCTCCATTATGTGGTGGTAATAAAAATTAACTGAGGGCTGGCGAGATGGTTCAGCAGGAAAAGGTACTTACTGTGCAAGCCTGATGACCCAAGCTTGATCCCTGGAACCCATGGTGGAAGGAGAGAACCAGCTCTCCAAAGCTGTTCTTTCTCCTCCATGCGTGTATGCACACAGACACACTAATAAACGTTAAAAATTCTTTAAAGAGCACCACTATCAGAAGTGAATGCAAGCTGATGGAATGAGAGGATGCTTACATGTGAATGGTGTGCAAAACCAAAACAGGATGCTACCTTTCCTGCAGGTCTTCCTGACATCCCTGGTCTTTTCACTACATACCAATCACATAATCTCACCGTGTCTATGTCCCTTTTTATTTTTGAGTTTTCTTTAAAGAAAAAAAACATTTGGTGACAATATACCAACTAACTAATGCTGTCTGGCTGATGTGTGTGCATGCGTATGTGCTCCCTCATGTGGCTGCGCTTGTTCATGTGTGCAGATGTGTGCATGTATTGGGATGTGTGCGTGTATATGGAGCTAGGGGACTTCTGGTGTCATCACTTTGCTTTTGGAGACAGGGTCTCTTACTGGCCCACACCAGCTAATCAGCCTGTCTCTGCCTCCCCTCGGGGGGCATATACCGCCATGACCCGTCTTTTGTTTGCTTGTCTGTTCATTAACATAGATCCTGGGGACCGATATCCGGTGCTTATGCTTACATGGCAGGCACTGTGTCAACTAAGCCATCTCCTGGCCCCAGATGATCAAGAGGATTCACATAGCTGACATGAAAGTACAAGATCATATGCAGAAATAATTGTCCAATTGTTCCTATGGTCAATTTCTTTACCTCCTTTTTTGTTTTTTTACATCAGGTAACCTTTATAAGCATCCAGTACCAGCAATGAGATTATTCAGACGGGTGTGTTCTCCCCCACTCACCCTGAGACTGCTGGACACTGCTCCACAATAGAAAGGCTTCTATAAAGGCCTAGAGGATAAATCCTTTGCTAGGAGATAATTCTTAGAAAACATCTAGCATTACCTATGTAGTCTTTTTCCTTTTGTTTGTAACAGAGTGAGTCTCCTCTCTCACTAAACTAGAAATCAGACAGATGTCCTATACACTAGACACTAAATCTTCAGCTGGCTTGATCCTAAGAAAAATGGCCATGTTGGGTGTATCTCTATTTCAGTGGAGGAAGTTCTTAGAAGAGAGATTAATTAGGGAAGAGCCTTTGCTAAAAAAAAAAAAAAAAAAGAAAGAAAGAAGAAAAGAAAGAAAGAAGGAGAGAGAAAGGAAGAGAAAGAAAGAAAGAAAGAAAGAAAGAAAGAAAGAAAGAAAGAAGAAAGAAAGAAAGAAAGAAGAAAGAAAGAAAGAAAGAAAGAGAAAGCAAGCAAGCTTGGTTTAAGACATAACCTGCTATCCATTACTAAGGGACCTTCTAGGTGGTGTTACCAATGCAGACTCCCACTGCTGGCACATGTCTGCGTCTTCCTTCAGCCTGATGATTCTGTATCTTTCCTAAATTGCACAGTTACGAAAAAAATCTCACTTTTCTATTTAATTTGCTGGAAAGGATGGGCCTATTTTGTACTTGGAATTTGTATTCCCTCTTCTGGAGCTCTACACTCATGGGGGCCAACATTTTTTCAGACTTTAAGAGTTGTCTGCATAGTTAGAAAATCAACCATTTAGTATGTCTATGACAAAGATCTCTATTCAGCTTGAGGTTTGTTTTTAATTTGTGTATGGTTCTGAAATGTAGCTCCAAAGCGACTACATAAAAACAAGATTTTAGAGATACTAAGAAACAAAGAGTTCGATGTTACTTAGGAACCTGTTTCCAACCCTTGGGAACAAGGCTGTGGCTTTGCTTAGGTAACACTCAGCTTCAGAACAAAAAGGGGCTGAAGTTTTCATATTCTTAAATATCTCCCTTAAAGTACACAAGTTGTTAAGCAAATACTAAATACAAACGAGTTAGTTTCTTCATCTGGTATCTCTCCACCATGTTTCTGCAACACTGCCTGTGGAGAATCATGGGCTTGCTTGTTTTGGTTTGGTTTTGGTTGATGTTATTGCTTAATGTCTCAGTATGGAGCTCTGGCTGTCCTTGAACTCACAAAGTTTCCCCATGATGCACCCCCCCACACCAAGTGCTGAGATTAAAGGCCCGAGCTTTAATCCCTAACAAGTATCTAACTCTTTGTCTTCTCTCCCCCTCTCCTTCTTTACCCCCTCTCCCTCCTTTACTAACACTTTACCAACTGAGCAATTTCCCTAGTCTCGATTACTAATTTTATTTTAAAGTACAAACTTCTAACTTAAAAAAGGAAGTTACAGTGCTTAGTAGTCTATATTTATTTCTTCTAGAAAAATTGAAGTTATTAAAAAAAAAAAAAAGTCAGTCCTGGTGACACAGGTTTATAGTCCAGCTACTCAGGAAGCCAGAACAAGATTACAATTTCAAGGCTTTCCCAGGCTACACAGAAAAATCCAGACCAGCGTCTGGGCTAGCTCCAGAGACCCTGTCTCAAATTTAAAACAAAAAAGAAAAACAGGGCAAGAGCTGTCAGTGGGAGAGCACCTGCCTAGTAAACAGAAAACTCTGGGTTCAAACCAAACACCACAAAGAAAACAAAACCCCAGTGAACAAAAGGTTAAATTCATAAGCAGTTAAAAGAAAGGCATCTCTTCTTTAACACTAAAAACATCTAGGCTGCCTTCTACTGAAGTCTTGTGGGTGTAGGGCCTTCACCTTTCTGCTCCTTAACAATTCTCCCCCTTGTGTTTTATTTCCAAGACAAGATTTCTCTGTGTAGCTTTGGCTGTCCAGGATTCTCTTTGTAGACCAGGCTGACTTCAAACTCACAGAGATCCATCTGCCTCTGCCTTCCCGAGTGCTGGGATTAAAGGTATGCGCCACCACAACTGGCTTGTAATTCCTCTTAATAAGATTTAATCTCGGGGACAGGAGCTCCACAACAAGACCAACAGAGCCAAAAAATCTGGGCTCAGGGGATCCTGCAGATACTGATGCATGGATCTGCAAGGACCACTCATGGAGAGGACCTAGACCCCCTGCTCAGATGTAGCCCATGGGCAGCTCTGTCTCAATGTGGGTTCCATAGTGAGGGGAGCAGAGGCAGTCAATGGCATGAACTCCACCATTCCAATGGTTGTCCGCTCGTTGATCACCTCCCCCTGTCAAGGTGGCCTTACTAGAGAAAGAAGATCCAGACAGTCTTGATGAGACCTGATAGGCTAGGGTCAGATAGTAGAGAAGGAGAGCCTCCCCTATCAGTGGACTGGGGGAGGGACATAGAGGGAGAAGGGGTAGGAGGGTAGGACTGGGAGATGAGGGAAGGGGGCACAGCCGGGATACAAAGTGAATAAATTTTGTAATAAATGATAGTAATAAAGAAAAAATTTTTTAAAGAATTAGTCTCCATTAAAACACACCTGTAAGCACATACCACTCAGAAACATCACTTAGGTTACGACCACTTAAATCTTTCAATAATGTGAATCAGGCATTTTTCCCTAGTGCAGGAAATTCTACATGATATTTACATGTATGTGTATATGTACGTGTGTGTGTGTGTGTGTGTTTATATATTTAATTCCAAGAGACACTTTCTAATGTTTAACAATTCCCCATAGCACCCAGGGCTCTGCAGACATTCCATGAATGTGGTTACAGCGTTGTGAATGGACTCTTACCTGGTGGAATCTTTTAAGATGAAGAATCAGGATAGCTGGGACAGCAGATATGAGAAGTTGCTTCCTGGCATTAGTGTACACTCCTCCTCCTTTCTTTTCTGCATAAAATGTAAATTTGCTTGTAAAATGTAATTGAATAGATCACTTATAAAATGGCAGACATTTATATAAAGCTATTTGTATACTGCTGCATCATGTTCTGGGTTGGGTTTTTGGGGGGAGAGGGCATGGCCATGCTTTCTCTGTGTAGCCTTAACTGCTCTGGGACTCACTCTGTACACCAGGTTGGCCTCAAACTCAGAGATCCGCCTCCCTCCGTCTCCCAAGTGCCAGGACGAAAAGTGTGAGCCATCACAGCTGGCTACACCACAGTTTACAAATAGTGAAGAAACTCCTTTTTAAATGTATGTGTGTGTGTGTGTGTTGTATATGTTGTGTATATAGTGTATGGTATGTATGTGTTGTATGTTGTATGTATGTTGTGTGTATCTGTGTTGTGTATGTAGTGTTGTGTGTATGTTGTGTGTATGGTGTATCTGTGTGTATGTGCATATGTATGTTGTGTGTATGTTGTGTGTGTGTTTGTTGAGTATATGGTGTATCTGTGT